TTTTTTTTTTTTTGTTTTTTTATTTCGCAGCGTTGAGCTGTTGGTGTTATTTGATGCTATTATGCTGTTTGGCTTTGTTGTTGTTTGGTTATTTTGTTCATAGCACCACCGCACTTACCGTTCACTTATGCATTAATAATTACGAGAATAACTCGCAGCTATTTTAGCGTATTTGCTCGATTGTTATTGTTGCACTTGTTTATTTGTTTGTTTATTTTTTTTTTTTTCTCTTTGCGTTTCTTTTTTCTTACCTCTTTGGTTATTGTTATTTTGCATTGGACTAACGGTGGTGTGGCTTCTGAAAATCTTGTTATTGCCACCCTGGCTATGTAAATTTCCAGCAAATGTTGTTGTTGTTGTTGTTTCTGTTTGATGCATACTGCTGTTGTGGCATGGGAATTGTTGCAAATGCGGTCGTGCGGTCTGTCGGTTGGTCAGTTCAGAGTATACCTTCATACAAATATACTTTACATACGTGTATGTATGTACATAACTAATTTGTTCACAACCAACACCTACGCAAGGTACAGTTGTGGCCAATAAAACGTTGTTAGAACGATTTCCAATAGAGTTTTAAGAAATTATTTTTAGTTATCAGCGCGAAGTAGTGCGAGTAGCTCGAAAGTGATAAGTTTTGGCTCTGTCCACTTCTAATACTTCGGCGCTGAAGAAACGCATTTTATATTATAAAGGTTTTGTGCAACAAGAAAATATAATTCTAACTCTTTTGTCTCGAAACTGTTCGGGGGATATTGTTCAGGTGTGTTATAGAAACCGACGCTGATTAGCGTAATTATCGGAATTGAAAGTCAATATCTGTTTAAAATGGTGTTGGGAACCCGACTTGAATTTGGTTTTTTCGAAGATAAAAAAAAACGATTTTTGAATCAGCTGGAAACCAACTTGTACAAAAAGCCCAACAATTCAATTTCATTTTTGTACTGGTTTTAACACATTTGTTGTGATTGTTAATTAAGAATAGAAAAAAGTAACTTTCGCCATGATAACAGATGATAGAAGAGTTTAAAAAAATCCCAAGAAATTTAAGTGCAAAATTTTAATTTTACATTTGCTGATACAATTTTCATTGTATGTAGATGCAAGACAATATTGGTTTTACCAAAGAAGCCTTTGGATTTGGCATTGAAGACAAGTTAGATAGGCTGTCGATCCCACCAGTGCTCCTTCGACACTGCAATTTTTGGCCGAAAACCCCTCTCAACGGTCTGTGGGCAATAACTCAATATCTCCATAGCGTGATCTACAGTCTCAGTGGTTACAACCGAGGTGCTAAAGGTTTTTGAACGCAAATCAATTTTGCCCACGCTGGATAGAGATAGGAACGAAACACAATGAAAAGCGGAGAGCTCCAAATACACAAAGTATCGTATTCCAAGCTTTACTGATTGTATCGATGAAGCTTATAAACAAATGGTGAAACCACCCCATTGATCAGCATTTTTTTTTTAGTCTCGAAAGATACTTCAGTTTCACGTTCTTGACTTATATTTTTATTAAATTTCCACTTGCAATTCTGTCAACATTGAACTGCTCGGTTTAGTTCTGACACTTAAACCGACAAATCATTTTCTGTAACACACATACGAGTAATCGATGTAAATTCTGTTTCGAAAATGAAACCGATATGCAAATCAATAATCCGAATCAGTAACGCCTTAAGCAAAATTTAGGCGATTCCAATTCTGATTCTCACCACAAACAATCAAACTTTTAAAAGTAAGTTAAGCAAATGTATTTGTGTGTTCAAATTAATTAAATTATCAAATTAATTTTAAATCGATTACAATACGCTGGAATTTATGGATAAATTTCTAATACGTTTGTTTATTGTACAATATATGACCGTAAATCAATTGTGTACATACTCGTATGTACAAACACCTAGGCAATCATGCACGTAGGCTCACGAGTAAACCAATGTGGGCCGCCAGCAACAAGAACACACACACACACATCGGCATCCGAAAAGTTATACAAATACCACAAGCAATGACTTAACGTATGGCTGTGGCTGGAACATGTGGCGAATAGCCGATTGGAAGCTCAGTTGAATAACTGTTATATTCAAACGATAATTCTCGCTCATCGGCATTCAGTGGAACAAAGAAGTCCAATAATAAAAGAATGATAATTAAAGCGTGCTTTTTAATACACTTGAATTTACAGTACCTGGGATTTTTCACACAAAAATTTAAGCATGCATACGAGATTTGACAATTAAGTAATGAGACTGATGCGTCAAAAATTCTTATAGAACTCTGGCATCTCCTTCAAAATAGTCCTCTTGAGCAGCTATATAACGATTAGAGCGCGTTTTCCATGCTTCGTAACATTTCTTGAACGCTTCGAATGGGATGTCCCCGAGGGCCCTTGTCACGGCCGCCTGAATGTCCTCCATCGGCTCAAAAAGAGTTTCTTTTACTAACGATTTTGTTTTAAGGAACACGGCGCGTTGTCGTAATGAAGGATCCAGTTACGAGCGATGTTTGGGTTGCGGAGGCAACCATTGTTAATTTTGGCGTTTGGTTTCCGGGTCGTATTGAAAAAACCATGCACCTTTGCGGTTTAAGCGTACGTTTCCCAACCTGCTTCGCCAATTTGGCGCGACCCGTTGCTCTTGACTTCGTTTTTCCACTTTCGTGACGAGCTCCACTAACACAAATTTACTCAACACGACACAGCATGTGAACGAAACAAGTTAGAGCGATGGCAAATATATCAATGTAGAGGAAAAAGATGCCAGGAGAAGGGAAAGGGAATTTCAATGTCGCAGCGTTAACACAATCGCGGCAATATATTCTTCGCTGCCAAAAATGAAGAAAGCTAATTTTGAAACTGCTGGACTAATTTAGTTCATATGCGGCTACTAAACTACGGTGGCGAAGAACTGACAAGGTGTATGGCTCAACATCTTTGCCCCCAATTTTCTCCGCATAGTATTTCACGATAGTTCTAATACGATTTTTAACATATTTTTATCGTTATTTATTTTATTATAACTTATTGTATACACTATTACATTCAATAGAAAAACCTTGCCACATATTAGTCAAGCAATGATTTTTCCACGTTCCAATTTTCAAGCAAATCGAACCATAAATATGATTCTTTCAGTTATATTGTGCGGTACAAAATTGTCAATGTTAATGTGTGTAACATAGCCAAAAAGCTCTGTTCCAGATATAAAGCAAATCCATAAACAGGGTTTTTGCGAGCAGATCAGACCACGGAATGAAAGTCTCTTAAGGTGTTAATCTAGGCAAAGGTCCATCTTTATTTCAAAATTTAAGCAAATTGAACCAAAACTACGACTCTTACAAATACACAAAGCCTCCCACTGATTGCCTAATCAACAAAAAGGGGGACCCCAAAGTCTGGAAAACCCACCAATGATCAGATATTTACCATGTGCCACATTTTTCACCCGAGAAGAAACAATCGACACACACTACGTTTGCGTCGATTTGAAAATAACTGTCGACAACACAAACAAAAGCTGCCTCTGCATCGCTAACTGAATTTGGTATCCCAGAAGCTCAGTCAGAATTAGGAAAGGCCTATCCGAGCCATTTGATACCAAACGAGGTTTTAAACTCTTTACCATGTGGCTTCTTTAATTTATTGCTTCAGAATATAAGAATGTAGAGCTGCTGGCGTAGGCTGCACGTGTTACTATCATAGGCCTCAGCTACCACGCCATTTGTTCCGATTACTCCAGACTTGATAATGAAGCGAAGCAAATAGGTCTGGTAGTGAATAAGGATATGATGAAATAAGACCTGTCATTTTATTTGCAACCCGGCTCCCACATCACTGTTGACAGTCATAACTTCGAGGTCGTATATAATTTCGCCTATCTAGTGCCCAGTATTAACACCAACAACAATGTAAGCCTGGAAAATCAACGCAGAATCACTCTTGCCAAGAGGTGCTACTTTGGACTGAGTAGGCAATTGAAAAGTGAAGTCCTCTTTCGGGGAACGTAAACCCGTGTTACTCTATTGCCTGGATGATGTCGGCTCTAGGAGTCCTTGAGAGAAAAGTTTGACGGACGGTTTTCGGTCGTTTACGGCGAATACCGCAGACGACGGAACGATGACCCTGTACGAGATATACGATGACATTGGCATAGTTCAGCGAATGAAGAGAAAGCGGCTACGCTGGCCTGGTATCACTTGGTATTTCCCACTGGCGCCAAACAGCGAAAAGAAAGAATGAATGGCGCGCTAATATTGATTCGGCTATAAACGCATAAGCGATACCAGTGCCAATATAAAAAAAACGCCAATGCCTATGTTAATTTTGAAATCCAAAAAGTGCTTTTGGGACTAAGCAAACAATTAAAAATTAAAGTCCACTCTCAAAGAACAAAGGCCAAACTCTACAAGTCAATGCTGCGCGCTACTCAAGCCTGCATCATAACGATAAATTTCACGTTAATCCAAAATGTCTTTCGTTTCTGTTGAAACTTTCGGAAATATTAACGATAAAGCAGTTTTCAAAATAAATTTATTTTCGTTTTTACCCGAAACGAAAAGTTGTCGGTAATGTTAAACGTTAAAATTTGTTATGAAGCCATTTTAAAATTAACCTTAATGACTTTATTTCGTTGAGTAGTTTTTCTTGTTAACGAAACGGAATGGCATCGCTGAGTTTATTGAGTATCTTTGGTCCTACTACACGATCCGGAGGCATGAACGATGACAACCTCATCAACGAAATCGAAACACTACTTGACCGAATTTCAGAAATGGGAATTATCATTTATGTCATTTCAAAATGAAATACTATGCATTTGATATACCATAAAGACTTCGGCGCGACCGGAGATAGCTCTTATTTCTAGTATTGCATAATATTTTGTTTAGTTTCAATAATTAAGAATTTAACTAAAAATTTATTTTTTTATGTTGGCGAACATTTTCTACGTTTTCTACTAAATAATTGTTTAAACAAAGATTTCCTTCATTCTTTTACAGTTCGACAAACAGTAGCGCAGTGAGCGCACGATTAAAACCTGTTGTAAACCAAGTCGTACACAGTAAGATGAAAGAGCATAAAAACAACTAAACAACGATAATAAACCAGCAAAGAACTCTACAACAAATCAACCAAATCAAAAACAACAAGAAAAGCAAAAATAAAAATGAAACCAAAAGTAAAACACCACAAGAAACGAAAGCTGACCAAAACAGCAATCGAAAGACAAAAGCCGAAAGTGCGCAAGTAAAACCTAAATACTGAAATAAAAAAGTGAAAATAAAGACCAACTCAAAGTTATTTTAAATCAAGTCGGTTTCATGCTAAGCCAAAAGCAATGAAAGAAGTTGAGAAACAAGAGAGCAACAAAATTGCAAGTGCATAAATGGCAAGCATGAGTTTGCGGGCGTCGTAGTGGGACGAGAGGTAAGTGCGCGGTGCGTTAGGACGGGGGGCAACACGCAGAGCACGAGCTAAAACTGAACGTTGAGAGGTGGATTAAGTATCTACTAAGGGGTTATGTTGATTTACTTTTCTATGGCGCATCAAAAGCAGTGCGCGGCAGCAGAGACAAAAAACTGGTTCTACAAGCGGCTGGACAAGTTGTAGTGTAGCGGCAGAAAACCAGAAACAAAAACACACGTTAAAAACAACAAAACAACGCCTGCGATAATCACAACATTCAAACGCCACGTTAACATTACAGAAAACCGAAAACAACAACAGCAGCAACAACAGCAATATGAAGAACCGCTGAAAAAAACAACATGAATTACATGAAATATATGTAAACACATGACGAGAGACAAGAAAATACCAAAAACGAAATCAAAGAGTTACACAAGCAGATGCAACAACAACAGCAACATTAATAGCCGCAGCGAAAACAACACGAGTTAAACCAGCAGCAACAGCCACAACAAACAAGAAACAACCACAAACGACTGAATGGCAGCACAAGCAACAATCTCAAGCACCATTGAGGCCACAAAAAACTCACACACCCAAAAGTCAGTCAGTAAGTCATCGGGCGAGTTAGCGTACGGGCGCGTATAGATGTCGCGGTGCATAGCTTACGTACATGCTTACATACGAGTACATGCGAGTAGGTCCGTTAGTCAGTCGTGGTAAGCGGCAGAGTAAGTGACGTGCATAGAAGCAACAGCAACAGCAACAGCAACAACAACAACAACATCGACCGTCCACTAGACACAATTATAAAATACTTTTACAACATTTAGTTATGTGTTTTAAGGCATTGAAAGTGAATTACGGCATACAGTTTTGTTGTTGCTGTCGTTGCCGTTGTTGAAACAGATGGCAAGGGCCGCTCTAGCTCCCGGCTGCTGATAAGTGTATATTTAAATGTTAAGAACAACATAAATACAAAGTACTCGTACATAATAGCGGACAAGTTGCTTGGCATTTTGTTTGGCAGAAGCAGCAGTAGCAGCAACAGCAGCAGCAACAACAACAATTGTTTATGTAAAATATTTATGGTTAGGGGGGCGCTTCGAGCGAAGCAGTTAAAGTGTTTCAATAGTGCACACTTAAGAGGAAGTGATAGCAACAACTACAACAAAAACAATAACAAACATAATAATAATAATAATAATGCGACAAAATAAAACCAAAATGTATTCAATTTGGTAGAAAAGCAACAACTTCGAAAGCCAGTAAATGTGTTTAAAGTGCAGTTATTAAAGAAGTGTATAAAAAGTTTGGCAATAATGAATGAGAGCGTCTGCTAAGAGCTTCATAATAATTACACAACGCGCACACATTAAGTGGAACTGAAGCGTGGCTTAATAGTTCTGCAACTAAAAGTGGGTGGAAGAAAAAGTGTAAAATTTATGAGAGTAACATTTTTTAAGACCGTTGAATCTCTACGGGAATTTTCATTTATGAAGCTGCAAAATTATATTTTGGCTCGGTTGAAATAACAAGAGTACACGAATATGCAATATGTGACCACATATGTACGAGTATGTGTATGTGATTGGACTGCGACTATAGGAAGTACTTAAAACCTGTAGTGGTATCGTTTCGCCTTGCTTAAGATAACTGTTCATCAAAAAAACATAAGCAATAATAACGTTAATGCTTTTTACGATAGATGACATTCGGTTCCGAAACAAGACTGATTGTATAGGCGATTCTTTAACTTCCTTGGAGCTTACAATCGGCTGCAATCACTCGTACATACAATCTTTTCGTACTTTATACGTATATCCTTTGTTGTCATTCGTCTTCTTCTTTATTGGCGTTGGCGCGGCTTACGCGATTAGAGTCGAATCTGTTATAGCGCGCCATTCATCCCTTTTTTGCGCTGTTTGGCGCCAATTGGAAAAACCAACTAAGGCCAGGTCACTCTTCACCTGATCCTTACAAGGAAGTGGAGGTCTTCCCCTTCCTCTGCTTCCAACGACGGTTACTGCATCTTTAAAGCTGGAGTGCTTTCATCCATTCGGATAACATGACCTAGCCAGCGTAGCCGCTGGCCCTTCATTTGCTCAACTATGTCAATCACGAGGACTCCTAGAGCTGACTCATAAGATATTGATATCGCCCACACCTCTATGCCATATAGTAGGCAGGTATGACAAACGACTTGTAGAGTTTGGTTTTGGTTCACCAAGAGTGGACTTTACTTTTCAATTTTCTACTCAGTCCAAAGTAGCACCTGTTGGCAAGAGTGATTCTGCTTTGGATCTCAAGGCTGAAATTATTGCTAGTGTTAATGCTGGTTTCTAAATAGACGAAGTTATCGACGACTTCAAAGTTATGACTGTCAACTGTGACGTGGGAGCCAAGTCGCGATACGATGACTTTTTTTTTTTTTTTTTGATGACAGGAGATATTTCGTTTTATCCTCGTTTTCTACCAGACCCCTTCGCTTTGCTTCTTTATCAAGCCTGGAGAAATAGCAGGTGCTGAAGCGGATAATGTCAATATCATCGGCGTACGCCTTCTCTATTCAGCTCTGCAGCTCTTATTTTTCTCTCTTGCATCAAATTGAAGAAATCACACGACGAAGAGTCACCCTGTCTGAAGCCTCGTTTGGTACCGAACGGCTCGGAGAGGTCCTTCCCAATTCTGACAGCGCTTTTGGTGTTGTCTAGCATCAGTTTACTCAGCCGTATAAGTTTTGCGGGGATACCAAATTCAGACAAAGCGACGTAAAGGCAGCTTCTTCTCGTGCTGTCGAAGGCTGCAAAAATCGACGAAGAGATGGTTAGTGTCCTCTTTTTACAGGCCTTTTCCAAGATTTGTCGCATGGTGAATATCTGGTCAATGGTTGACTTACCAGGTCTGAAGCCACAATGATAAGGACGAATAAGTTTGTTGACGGTGGGCATTAGTCTTTCACACAAAACGCTCGATAGGACCTTATACGCGATGCTAAGGAGACTTATCCCACGCTAGTTGGCGTAGACTGTGGGATCGCTCTTTTTGTGGTCTCGCGTTCACCATCTCCGCGTGTTTCATATTCACGGCCGTTCAGCAGGCTAGAGAAGTTTTCCTTCCATAAATTCAGTAAACTCTGTTCATCCGATACTAGGGCCCAGAGGGGCTAAAAGAGTTTTGTTTTTGTTGTCTTTACTATGTTTCTATTTCCCGATTCTCTTTAATAAGTTGGGATCTATGTTAGATAATCTTCCCCACATAAAGCTTTTCGTTGTGTGGCAAATATGCCCTGGATGCCAAAACGAATTTAGAAAAACCACAATTTATTGTACTACTAAAATTCTCCAAGCTACTGGTCTTTACCAGCGCACTTAGGCCAATAGACCTCCTCAAATGTTCAAACCATTCGGTGCGCCTTATAAAATCAACGAGATTTCCAATTTACGCTGAGTACCCTCAGCGAGATAATAGAAGAAGTGTTCCCCGACGAACTTGTGTCGCGTAGATATCAAGGCTGAACAGTGACGGAAGTAAGGTTCAAAAGACTCCTCCTACCCGTGAAGCTTCTTTAAACATTGGTATGACTGAAAGGTGAAATTTTCAACCATTTTTTGAAGTAACTGGGGTCGTATGTTAGCAATAACGCGATAAATTTTCTCGGTGTAAAATCGCCCGATTTTGGAGGCCACGCCACAGGCCCATGACGAAAGTAAATGCGAACACTAAAAGTTACTTTCAATGAATTGATTTTTTCGTTGGCTGAATGACTCGTATCGCCGTCTTTACCCAAAGTGTACGTGCCTTGTTCCGGACTTTGAGATACTTTTTTGAAAGGTTTTGACCCAAAACCTCACATCCGAACGAATCGGTTATATGGGTGCTTTTTATATAGTCTACCGATTTTTATGATTTTTGATGGAAATGTTTATATGTACATATATGGGTGTACGAGTATGGGTGTAGAATACTAAATTTCACGTTTTTAGATGCTTTTTATGGTGCTTATGACCTAAATGGACGATTTGTTTCAAAAACATCAAGGCGCAAAACCGCAAATCGGAGGGGGAGATCGACCGAAAATCGCTTCATCTTTGTAACCGACAAATGACCCAAAATCTCAAAAATCTTCTAATAAGAAGTGTTATTTTGATTTTCATGTACCGCCGTCTTGTTGATGGTATTGATCATCGAATTCCGGCCATGAAAAAGCATTAATCATATCTCCATAGCGCAATCCATTCATTTTCGTAAAATTAAAGCCAAAAGGGGAATCAGACTATAAACCGCACCAAACAGTTAGAGAGGCTTTTCAACAATAAATCTTAGGTTTACCGAGCCCCAGACGCGAAAGTTTTGCTTTTTGACCTAGCCACTAAGGTGGGAATCGGCTTCATCAGTCAGGACGATTTTTCGAAGAAATTTTTATCGTATCGTATTTTTTTTTTATTACCAGCGTGGATTTACTTTTGCAATGTCAAAAAACTATAGCTTTTAAAGTGACATCTACCGGAATAGCAGGCTATTCAAAATAACACCTCTTATTGAAAAAATACCTGATGATGACGAAGGTTTATATACGAGGTGTGTTCAAAAAATATCGCGATTTTTGTGTTTTTTCAAAAATTATTTATTTATTCATGAATATCTATTTTGCCCCCTTCAAAGTAATCCCCATGAGATATTATACACTTGTGCCAAAGGTTTTTCCAATTTTCGAAGCACTTCAAAAAATAATTTTTTTTTATCTTGTTCAGCTCCTCCTTCGATGCCGTCTTTATCTCGTCAATTGTAGCGTAACGTCGTCCTTTCATGGGCCTCTTCAGTTTAGGGAACAAGGAAAAGTCACAGGGGCCAGATCTGTGGAATACGGTGGCTGCGGCATCATAAGTGTGTTGTTTTCGGCCAAAAAGGCGTTATCGTTATACGGGCGTTTCTGGCGGATTGCATCGCGCAAATTGCGCATAACTTGCTGGTAATATTCCTTATTGACCGTTCTACCCTGTGGCAAGAACTCATGATGCACCACGCCCCTGCAATTCATTTTTTCGTCTGTTGTTGAGGTGCTCGGGCGTCCGGCACGCTCTTCGTCGTTCACATCTTCTCGGCCTTCTGAGAACATTTTGTACCACCGATAAACGTTACTTCGGTCCTAGGTAGCTTCTCCGTATGCCACAGTCAACATTCGGAATGCATTCGCGCACTTAATTTCGTTTTTCACACAAAATTTGATACAGGTTCTTTGATCCATTTATTTGAATAGGTAAAAATCGAAGACCATTCAAAACATTTGCAAGCAAAGCAGCTGTCAACAATTAAGTGAACATTTAAAATGGCCGAGCTTGTCGGCATAAGTGACAGACATGAGTACCAACATAACGCCACAAAAAAAAATCGAAATTCGATTATACGTAACCCGCGAAAATTCCTAATTCGTGATACTTTTTGAACACACCTCGTAAAGCAGTGCATCTGTATGCCAAGTTTTGTTGAAATAGTTCTGGAGTATCTTATAAACTCAGAGAGTAGCTTGCAAATTAACGGACGAACATGGCTGGATCAACATAACTCGTCACCCTGACTCGATCGATACAAACTTTGATGATCCATCTCTCCTCTTTAGTACTTACATACTTCATTAGTTTATTGAATTATTATGACTTTTTATTTATTATTTATATGCTTTTATATTTTTGTATGAATTCAATTAGTTTCAGACTAGTACATATTTGGCCTAAAGTTGGCTATTACTTGCTCGCAGAACATCTTCGAATTAAAAATACTAGTTGCTTGTTGACAGGTTTGTTGGCAGCTTTTTAAGCATTCGATTGTAATTTCATAATAGTTTTCATCAGTTCATGTGACCGCAATATAATATAAATGAAATATTACTCATATATTTTTCTAATTTTGGGTGTGATTGTAGAATTAGAAATATGTGGAACGGCAAATATTAAAAATCTGAGTTTGATTTTCCGCTTAGAGCTTACTATTAAATTAAGAGTTTTTAGTGAAAAACTGGCATTGGCTCCTTCTTTGAACACCGACCTTAACCACCCCCATAAAGCTAAGGTTCACATATGTGTACATATTCATGAGATTAAATATAACATCCAAAAATTCTTTTTAATCTCTTTGTCTAAGTAAACAATAAATTACAATACATTTATAACTGAAAGCAAAGCAAGTAAAAAATTAAAAACAATCTGAGCCAATCACAGCAAAGTAAAATAAAGTTTTGTTATATCGTGATATTATACAATGCACAAAGTGAAAAATCTGAACGTTATAGACGAACAAAGCTCAACACGCAAAATGTCACAAAAATCAAAGTGAATGCTACTCGATGTGAAGTCAAATAACCGCATAGCGAAATATCGCACAAATACATATACGAGTACACATACATTCAAAAACAGTCAGATGGGCATATAGCAAAATACAAAGATTTTTATATTATTTTGACCAACACAACAATTTTTTTTCTTTTGCCCAGAGCAGGCGGCTCTACAAAAGGCATTTTATTTTTTAGTTTAACTTCCGCTTTGGTGAGTTTTGGGGTTACTTTGATTTTCTTGCCGCCATAAATCATATTTTTCACAATGAAAAAAAAATCTATTTTTAGGCTTATGCAGAACAACAACAAAAATTCAACGAAATTTAATCAAAAAATGTGGTAGTGATGAAAAACGACTGCAGAAAATAGTCGTCGTTCAACATCCCACTGTGACAGTGACAGCTTTGTCAGAAACTAAGCTTAAGTGTGGCTATTGTGGTGCTAAAAATTAATTAAAAAGAAAGAAAAAAAAAAAACAATAAAAACAATGTGCTCTGTTAGCAACTGGACTGTAGACTTTCTATAGAAAAAATATTGCTCCAATAAAATAATTAAAAAATCTACACAATTGCGCAAACAGCAACAACTACGTTACATATCAATAGCTAACCAGCAAGCAAACGGCTCGGTTAGACACTTCCAACCAAAACCCACAACAACACCAGAAACGCATTGACCATGTCACCACTTGTCAGCAAAATCAGCAAGACTTTCCGCTGGCTGCGCTGGTCCACCATTTGTGCCATTCTCTTCTATATGTTCTTCATCGGCCTGATATTGCACAGTACTACGTACAAATTACAACACACACTCAAATCGGGAGTGGGGAGTGACGCTGGTGGTGGTGGTGGTGGTGGTGGCGGCGATAGTAGCGCGGCATCTCAGGCTGACATGCTACTACATAAAGCACATGAAGCACATAAAGTACATAAAGCACTACGAAAACAACAAACACAAGATTACCCGCACAAGTATCCAGTTGAGGCGGAAAGTGAAGAAAATCTACAACAACAACAAAAAGAACAAAAGAAATTAGCAAAAGAAGTGTTGCTGCGAAACCGGCAAACGGTTGGGATAGTGAAAAAGGTAGCAGTTTCAGCGAGCGTGGAGCAGTCGAGCGCAGCAAACGGAAATAATGTGCTGAATACACCGCCGGAAGTTCTGTTGGCCACAACATTCCAACAACAAAATGCGCTGCGACGTTCCAGAAGCGACGAAGAGCGAGAAAAGCGAATAGGCAGCGAGAAAAGTGTAACGTTGCCGGGTGTTAGTACCATTGTGACTAAAGCGGCAGTGGCGGATGGCATCAGTAAGCGGCGAGGCGGCAAATCTAGCGAACCGGAAACTGTTATTTTAGCAGCGAGCTCCGTGAACGAGAAGCAAATTCTCGAGAAGGCATTCAAACGGTAAGTACATAAATCTTTTTGTACATATATATACGTATGTACATATATGAATACTTATAAAAAATGTCTTACTTAAGGACATACGGTACGATTGGCAATATTCTGTTTTAATTAATTTGTATTCCTTTTATGAATTCGTAAAGTACATTTTAAGTGAAGTTCTAACCAATATGGTTGACCTAATATATAACTTCCCGAAACCATATGTTAGATTCCTCAGACATGGGGGACTATGGCATATAACACTTCGTGAAAAAGAAACTTATTCATCAGATAAGAAGAGTTATAAATTTATAATTTGAAACTAAGCTTAAGCTAAAGCAGAACAATGCAGATCGGATGAATAGTTTTATGAAACACATTTCGTGCGAAAATTTCCAAACCTGAATTTCTGACATTTATACTTTAAAAAATGAATATTTTTTCTGTTCATTTTTATTTTAGTTGTTTGTCGTGCCAGATAAACTATGGTTACATTCTGCCCTCTTTCGTTTTCTAATCCCAAAAAAATCGATTGTTTGTTCTACCAAAAAATCTAGAGCAGAAAATCCTGCTCCTAGTTGTTATATTCCCCTGTTAAAGTCGACTCATAAAACAAACACTAGAGTTTTTTTTATTTTGAATTAGAGCAATATTGCGTAACCTAGAGCAACTAAATACGCAAACCTTACATTAATCTTAGGTGAATATTTTCTCGTCCTAAATTGAATAGTTTCACGGCATGAAAGGTATAAATACCTCGGTATATTCAAAGGCATCCTCGCTATCTTGTTGTTTGTTTTAGTTCGTATATTCGTTACATTATGTGCTTGTAGCAAGATACTGTAGGTCCTTCGTCTCTTAATGGTAATTAAATACCATCATAAATGCGAATGAATAATTACTAAATCCAAACAAATTGTTGTTTGCACAATTTTTGTGGTCTTAAACAAACACTAATGAGTTATTACTCAACAGCATGGGGACGAAATAACGGCTTTGCTCTATACAGTAGTAACAGTGTCATGATAGTAAGTTTATGAAATATTCAGGTCTGGTAGATAGTTTAACCTTAAATTTAACTTATGTTTAATGCCGAAAATGCATCCCACACACATATATGCACGTTTTCATCATATTAAGAGCAATTAGTCTATATATATCTGGCATGTGCTGCAAATCGCGCGATTTCGAACATAAATTCGAAACAGCTGATATTCAAACAACTGACATTTAATAACATTATTATGTAACATACATATTTTTACGCATGTGAGTGTTCAAACAGTTTCTGCTTTTTATGTACCGACATAATTAGAGTAAACATGAGAAAGCTGCCCGACACATTTTAAGAGATCACTCCAATTCTCTAAATATTCCAAAGGCAGTACATACGTGTATGCATATATGTATATGTATACGTATAACATCTGATTAGTTACAGATTAATTTCTTGGAATATGATAAATAAAAAAGCATTTCATAATTTTATTAACGATACAAGGCTCCTAATGAAGCCGAAGTCCATAGCTGAAATTAGTAGTTACGTTGAGGAAAGCGACAGCCTCTGCGCGGTAGGAGTTCAGGAATTTTCCCGCGGTAAAGCATGATTGTCGTGAGAGCCGACTAAGATTCGGCAGTCGCCTTATACAAAGAAACAAATTGCAAATAATTTTTTATGAATAATTTCATGATTTTTTTATCAATTTTCATAACCAAAGTAGAAAAGTAATTTAACAAAACGAGTTCTGTATATTAACATATATATACGAGGTGGGTTCAAAAAGTATCGCGAATTTCGAATTTTCGCAAGTTACGTATTATCGAATTTCGATTTTTTGTGGCGTTATGTTGGTACTTATGCTGTCACTTATGCCAACAAGCTCGGCCATTTTGAATGTTCACTTAATTGTTGACAGCTGCTTTGCTTGCACGTGTTTTGGATGGTCTTCGACCTATTCAAAAAAAAAAATGGATCAAAGAACCTGTATCAAATTTTGTGTGAAAAACGAAATTAAGTGCGCGAATGCATTCCGAATGTTGATTGTGGCATACGGAGAAGCTACCTTGGACCGAAGCAACGTTTATCGGTGGTACAAATTGTTCTCAGAAGGCCGAAAAGATGCGAACGACGAAGAGCGTGCCGGACGCCCGAGCACTTCAACAAAGGACGAAAAAATGAATTGGCGGGGTTGTGGTTCATCATGATAGAACGATCAATAAGGAATATTACCTGCAAGTTATGCGCAATTTGCGCGAAGAAATCCACCTGAAACGCCCGGATTTGTGGAAGAACAAAAATTGGCTTTTGCACCACGATAACGCCCCTGCTCACACATCGTTGCTTGTGCGCGACTTTTTGGCCAAAATTAACACATTAATGATGCCGCAGCCACCGTATTCCCCAGATCTGGCCCCTTGTGACTTCCCTAAACTGAAGAAGCCCATGAAAGGACGACGTTACGCTACGATTGACGAGATAAAGACGGCATCGAAGGAGGAGCTGAACAAGATAAAAAAAACACCGTTGGCACAAGTGTTTAATATCTCTTGGGGATTACTTTGAAGGGGTCAAAATGGATATTCATGAATAAATGAATAATTTTTGAAAAAACACAAAATTCGCGATCTTTTTTGAATACACCTAGTATTTTTCTAAATTTGGAGTAAACAAATCTCCATTTTGGTTGTCTTCAGCAGATCGATTTCAAAGCGGCGAAAATATGGCGATTTCGGCACATGGCACATGTCATATCCTTGCGCTTTGGTATGCGAAAAGGAAAACGGAACATTGAAATTCAACACATGTCCGTATAAAAGACTTTGTTCTGAATGACAGAGAGTTCAACCCACAGTCTGAGCCACTGATCGTAGAGATAGGAAATTTGGAGAGTGTTTTCCGCTTATGACTCATGCATCCTAAATAAAATAACCAAAGTAAAAACCTAATGAAAATCCTATTAGAACCACCTTAGAATTCCATGTGGACAAAGTGGCGGGCAATCTCTTGTATGGAATGTAATTAGTAGTTAAATATAACAGTAATAACTTTTATTGTTTATAAGTTAAACAATTTTCATCGAATTTACCTCTTTGGAGTTAGTTTGGAGATTTTTTTCTTGTCATCGTATCCGCTGAATTCCTCAAAATTTCGACTAGCAGACGCTATCACCCTTGCTGCTGACTTTTTGCCATTGCAGCATGTTTCAATTTCCAAACACCAGATGAAACTTATCCACGAGTTCATCTGATATAGCACCGAGATTTTCAGGAAAAAATCTATTTGCGGGTTCAAAGAAATGAACTTTGAGAGACGTAGTGACATACTCAGCCATAACATGTTTTTATCTATATTTATTTCGTTTTGGTTTTATAACTCAAGAACCGGGCTCACCTATCCAAACCAACAATGATTGGGCTATGTTCGAACTTTTAAATAAATGGTTTATGTGAAGTTTGCACAAAATCGGTGTAGCGTTTCATTATTTTTCACACTTTAGATTAACAGGAAGACTACTCTTATCTCCGGGAAGTGAACCAGAGAATGACCTATTCGAAAAAAAGACTACACTTCTCTCCGGAAAGTGGACTAAGGACTGCCCCCTTCAAAAAACGTTTATTTATGGCTGGATTTACTTGAAATTCGATTAATAGCTGGCTTTTTGCTTCGATGCTAGTATTCGTATATAAATTATGACTTTTATTAAAGAATCACAACCCTTTTTCCTGCATTGTCCTTCGAATTTCAGAGATTCCAATGAATGTTGTTTTGAGATACTGAAAGCCTACAATCTACTTGCATATAGCTTTTGTAAAGCAGAAATATGTTTTGACTTGGAAAAGGAAAGATTTTGAGAAACATTTTCTACCGAGGATCTAATCGTTTTTTTTTTCACCAAAAAATTGCTTTGTAATATTTGCTCTTCGTATCGTATCTTTGTTGCAACGAGCATTTATGACAATTTGTTATTATTGTGGAATAAAACTGCTTTCAAGCTTTTATTCGAGGAATAAATAGACAGTCTCTTTTCATATTTTTTTTTTATATAAAGCCATGTAACATATTTATTTTCTTAATTGACCAATATAGCTATTACCCCCTCTCGCTCCAGTCATTTCTCCTTTTAGCCCCTCGACGCCAATTGGAGACACCAAATAAAGTCAGGTTCTTCACAGCGAAGCCTTTGTCTATTCAATGGCTAAACTAGGTTAATGTCGTCGTAATAAATTTCACAATATGTTGGGTGTTCTTAAAAACGATTGTACTTTGTCTGCTGCTGCTATCATTTTGTCCAGCATCAAGTTTAATAAATCATACGTTAAAGAGGTTTCTGGAATTTCTGGTTACAAGCCGAGCCAAACTGTCGGATACTCGGATAGCCATCAGATCTCTTCAAAGCATTACACCTCGTCAAAAGTGGCGCTGAAATGCTGAAGCACTTTAAGCAAGCTCTCAGCTGGATGCAAAACAGTTGTACTCTGGGTGTTGCGACATATGGGCATCCGAGGCAGTTGTATGGCAGATGAGCTAGCGAGAAAAGGAACCATTATAACCTAACCATAATAATTTCTACGCAGGTCGCACCTCTGTCTACGGCAAAACTCAGATTAAAGCTGGCTTTCGCCTAAATAGCTAACACCAGTTGGCTGGGCGAAGGAACGTGCCATTGCAGGCATGTGCTGGACGACAAAAAAAGAAATATTAACCGCCTTGACCGATTCACCGTAAATTCAATAACGGGCACATTAACAGAACAGTGTTTAATGGAACTTCACGGTAGGAGAGCGGGATATTTTTCCAATGTTTTTTGTTTTTGCTGCAGGAACGAAGGAAGAGCCTGTCGAGCACTATCCAGTTGCAGAGCCCTAAACATCACACGACATGAATACCTAAGACAACACTGACGTAGCAACGGCTGGTACAGGTAGTATCGCATCGTTCATAAGGCGCACGAAATTTTTGGTACATCGGAGAAGGTGAGAATATTCCATTGAAATATTGCAGCGGGTCCTCAGGCTGG